GGGCTGCCAGGGACAGGGCTGCGCTGGCAGCGGCGTCGGGGTGATGCGGTTTCCCCCCGAGCAGGCTGCTCCAGAGTCGGGGTTCAGCCCCGCGTGGGCTCTCCTCCAGCCCCTCCGCACAAGCCATGCGTCGCACGGGTCGGGTTCGGGGAGCTTCTCGCTGTTTGACGGCTGTGCCTGAGCCTGGGCAGCACCACACGCGGTGAGGGTTGCTTTCAGCGTCTCCTGTCGCTGGATCTGAGCTTTCCCCGTGCATGCCCAGAGCCAAAGAACCATCTTTTGGGGGGGAACACATCAGCCTCGCTGGTAAGACTGCGATCAGGTCAGGATTTTCCTTTCCTGGTGTCACTTGTTGACCCTGTCTGACCCGAGGTGCCCGTTGGGATCCCCGTGAGAAGGGACAGGTCGGAGGATGCCGCGTGCGGGCTCCGTGGAGACGAGGGTGAGTGGGAAAGGGGCCAGGAAAGGCGACACTGACCCCGACTCCTGAAACACCTGCGCTGCGCAGTCGTCCTCACGTGCCCTGCTGGGGTCGGAGCTTCTGGGCTGGGTGAGCACACGCCGTTCCCTCGAGAAGCGTCTGCTCGGAGCCCCACCAGCACCCTGCTGTCCTCCAGCAACCCCACAGCCGCCATCCCCACGCTGTCAGTCCCCCAGCTCCGGGCTGGCAGTGCCTGGGGGGCTGCAAAGCCCCCCCAAAGTCCAGCATGCAGCCACCGAACTTCACCTCCACGCTTTTTTTGCGGTGACAGGAGCTGGGTGGCAGGCGGGGAGGAGAGGGAGGGAAGCAGTTGGTGGGGGTGGGTAAGTGCGGAGGCAGCGACGGGCTGGGGAGCGCAGGCTGAAGAGGTTGCGGAGAGACAGACGGAGGGACGGACAGGCGTGGAGTCTGTCGGACACTGTACCGGCAGGAGGATTTGGGTAATCGAGCCGAGTGGCTTCATAGAAACAGGGCAGAAAAAAACAAAGTTGGTGAAAAGTTATTTCATTGTTCTTACGGTTTGCAACCCAAGGTGCTTTTTCCCTGGGGGGGGGAAGGGTCGTGCAGGCTCCTGTTCACACCCGGGCTGGGGTCTACTCTGCTTCCCAGATCCCCCCATGGGGGAAACCCAGCCAGGAGACACGGGCAGGGCAGGCTGGGAGCAGGGGTCTTGCAGGGTCTCGGCAGGGTGGGCAGGGGCCAGGCAGGGTGGACAGGTGGTCTTGGCGGGGTGGGTAGGGGGTCTCGGCGGGGTGGT